TAGTACTGATTTAGAAAACCTTGAGCTCAAGTCCTTTACCAATTAACCATTTCATATCCATGGGATAGTACTATATGTTGTGCTCTCAAGACAAAGTATTTATATGCATCAGATTCATTCATCCCATGCTTGATTAACCTGCACATAAAATACTTGTTTAAAGCTTGTTTGATGAAAATTATTGATCAATAAACATCCAGGTAACCTGAAATAGAAAAAGAGAACTAGACCCTTCCAAAAGCCCAACATAAAGTGATGAAACATCCTAAACACAACATATGCACACCTGTTTAAATGGTGTATCACTACTATACCAACTTATATCAACTTCCCCTGAGTTGGGGTTAAGGTTGAGCTAGTCAATAGTTTGTCTGAGTTGAGTTGAGCTGTTAAGAGGTGTGACACCAGGGATAGTTTGGTGTCTTTACTTGTCATTGTGATATGAGAACAGTTTAAGCTCTGCCACACTTCATTAAGGAAAGAATAGACCTTTTATATGTACTCTAAAACATATAAACAAGGAAGTTGTCAACTGGTAGGAGATTATTTTATTTTCTCCCACTTGTTTCTTATCTATACAGCATTTACATGGTACCAGAGCCAGGTTCATCTCTTATAGAAGCACGCAAGTGACCTCTGACCACTCTTACAAATTCACTAGTGACCTGCAGTTGATGCTAGAAAGTTTTGTGGACTATCACAACAACCCATGATCTCTTCTGGGTGTTCAGTGTGACCTGCAATCACTTTTACGTAGGGTTTAAGGTCTGTGCTCCATACTAGAAGTGGCATTAAGATTGCAGAACCCATTCTATTTGAGTTTCTTTTAGGAGATCAGTATCTCCACTTAATGCCATCCTTGAGTGGGTCAAGTCTATTTTCATTTTTCTACTCAGTTACAGTCACCACGTGTGACTGTGGAATGATGCATGTGGTTGTTTAGACTCTGTAATTGATTTTACTAAAGAGGTGTGGACATATGCAATGAGATATGATGCTATTCTTGGAGTCCAATGACTCCGAACCATCGAGCTAATGACATAGAATCTTGCTAATATGATTCTGCAATACAGTGATGACAGTGGTAGTCACATTCTAGAGGGTGCTTAGTTTTTAGATTCTATACATTGAAAGCAAATAGAGTCAGTGTGGGACTTTACTAGCTTTGGCCAGAGTGCCAGACTGATGCGAGGACTCGGTCAATAGTGGGTTAATTTAATGATGTATTTCAGGAACCAATTGAAATACCATCCCCATGTCTCCTCCCTGAACCATGCTATCACACTGATTGAAGGAGCAAAACCAATCTAAGTCCATATAGATACCCACCAACTTATATAAACCACTGCATATTAATAAAGCTTGTTGTCTTTTTGCCTAAAATTTCTTTTTACTTCTCTGCTTTCCCCTATAGTGGTCCTTGGCACTATAGCTTGGGGAAGGGTAGCCTCACTTTCTCAGTAATAGGTTGAGTCTCATAACAGGTTTCATGAATTAGAACATCTCCATGGTCTTATATTTGGTGATCCAAGTATGGGGGTTTGGGTCCAATAGCTTTATGATTAGTAGAAAAGGCATGAACTTGAAATCTCCTCCATTAATCTTCTCATACATGGTGATGGCATTGTCATCCTGGAATGCCAAGAAAATGAGTGTGGCTACCACAAGATATATTGAAAAGGGATTTTGTGGGGTTGAATCATGAATTTCTTACTCCCATCTTCTTGGTTAGGAATTTAGAGGTGATAGAAGGTTGCACAAAGGCATTCCAACTCTATTTGTTTTGTTTTCATTGCCATGGTAGTTGGTTCTGTATTTTCTCTATTTTCATGCCCAATGCTATTGTATAGAAAAGCTTTATAATTTTCAATGATCATCTTCATTCCTAAAATTGGGATCTGCATCATTTTTTTTGGCATGGATTAGGTATTATTATTGACAAATTCCTTGGCCTCCATTTGGTTTCATCTATTGCGAGAAGATTGTCTAGGAATTAAAGCATAGAAAGAGAAACGGTAAACAAAAATTAGCTCGATGGATGATTGGGATCCTGTTGGAGACCTATTCAACAAGTTTAGTGATTGGATTAGATATGGCTTGATTTCTCTGTTAATTACGGAAGTTAGTAGATGCATTTGGACAGTCAATGCATTTATAGCATAATAAGGTTTCCTTTTAAAATACTAAAACATTTGGACAGTCAATTTAGCAGTTACCAGACGGCTACTTTGACAAATTCTAACACTGTCACTTTTTTCACAATATGGCAGAGTGTTAGGACTCCTCGTGTCTGAGTTTGACAAAGAAATACCCTAGCATCCTTGTAACATAGCCCAGAACCAGGAAAACACAGGCAGGTTTGCAGGGTTGTTAACTGTACCAAATCAATATAATGTCCTAAACAAACACTATACCAATGAATACCTTGTAAATCTTCCCTCATCTTGAGGGAGGGGAGCAATGTCTGAAGTAACTACTTTCTATACAAAATATTTACTGAATCAAGTGCTTTACATTTTGGATTGTTAAGTATTTCAGAGATTTTCAATGGTGCAGTTGATATCTGTATGCTTAAACTACTGCTTTTTCTTTTCCTCCTTTTTTTTAGTTTGTACCTTGAAAACATCCTCTGGCAGTACCTTCATGCAAAGCCAATCAGCATGGAGTTCAAATCACAGGATGGCCGCATTTAGTACAGACTACTCCAATGTGAAATCTTCAAGCCATATCAACACCTCATTTCTCTACGAAGCAAAGCATCCACAAAAAAGTCAATAACAATTTCAGAAGATAAGATGAAATGAAAGGACATAAAGCAAGCAAACATCCAACCTCGAATGACTATTCTACATAAACTATTAGTTGTGCAAAATATAAGAAAAAATGATAAGTTGCAGGTCAATTGCTGATGTAAGAAACTGTAAAGAGAACTGGATCATGGAAATATATTGTGAGGAAGATAGATAAAAACATAATCACAAGTCCAATTTTCAATCTCTTCATTTCTTTCTTTTGTTTTGCATAGGGTGGTGTAACATTGTAATTCTATCAATGAATTCATAGAGATCATTTGCAACACTTCTAGAACAGAATACTCATTATTGGAACAGTGGAAGAAAATACCAAAATATCATACCATTATGAAACTCCATGTCCGCCCTACATCATTGTATCTAGCAAGCAAACAACCCTCTTTTGGTTTGAAACCGTCACTAAGAAGTGCAGAGCGCAATGCTTCCTCCTTCTGAAGAACAATGTCTTCAGTTGGTTTTCCACTGAATTTCAATACTGCAACAATGCCCCCTTCCACTTTTCTCAAGATAAGTGCTTCTTTGTTTGGATCTGGCAAACTGATTGAGAAGCATACTTATTAAATTATTTCACACATCAAACTAAATAGGCATGAGAAAACTATTTCTCAAAGAGAGAATTTACTCCTTTAACTACTTCGGCAATTTTCTATAACATAACAACTTAAATATTTGAACCCAAAATTTTTTAGCGCTTTATTTTTGGTATTTGAATAGTTGGGTTAGTGGGTCAGAGGTTGGTAAAGACACAGGGTGGGGAAGGGATTGGGTGCACTTGAGACCTAGTGGCCATACCACAAAGAGCCTGCAGACATGTTTGTTTGATCTTGTGCCTCCACTATGGGAGGAATGGCTTGCCACCAACTCAATTGAGGGCTGGCTCCTTGGTGTGTTAGCTGGTTTGTTCCAGCATTGATGCGGAATCGAATCCTGCAACCAGCACTTTGGGGAAAAAAGGGGTCAAGGGGGAAGTTATTAATGGTGCATGGCACCCAATACCAAAAAATAAAAAAAACTATGGAACATTTGGTGGTTGTGTTTTGCTACTTCCAGTTTTTATGTTTCTTTAATGATCCATTTACTGACTAGTATTTATTTTTATGATATATTTATAATCTTTTTAAATTTTAGTTATGAACCAAAGCAAATAATAAAAGCATTACCTGATCAGATCTTTCTCTAATGACAGAACTATTTGAATAGATACTTTAGACAAATCAGCATCAACTGCCCGAGTGAACACAGGAGTAGTCATTGGGATCTTCTCCATAGAGGAATTCTTTCCAAATATATACCTAAAGAAATACCATTAACTGTCATAAATTATTCCATAGAAGATACCTTCTCTGCAAAACTTCAAAACAGCAAAGTAGAAACCAGGCTCGTCTTCAAATTTAGCTATCTCAAATGAATGATTGGCTGCAACCTTCTTCAAAGTAAGTCTATCAGGCAGGTCAGAAATCACCACATCAGAATACTGTTGCCTTTGCTTCTCTACAACTTCCCTTCCTTGAGAGTAGCTGATTACCAGGCTTGCACCTATGCAAACCACAGTCAGAAGTTAGGACACGGAAAGGATGCTCTATCACTGATGTGGGTTCAACAGAGAGACTCCAAGCCAACCATCATCAGCCTTGCACAGCATACATCCAGAGGCTTCAGCCAATTTTTAGCTAATCAGCAGGATTGCTTCATTTATTTATGGTGGTAACTCATGTGTTAGATTCAAATTGCCATCGAAATATAGTTATCCAAACCTGTGACCAGGCTGTGTATTTAAACATGATTCATCAAAGATGGAGAGAACCCAATACAGACCAATGCAGAGTTTTCCTGTAAACATAATACATACTTCTTATGTAGATGTGGACCATGAGGTCAAATTATGGTTTACCAGATAAACTTTGTTCTTCAGAAGCTAGCAGGGGAAGCTGGGATCGTAATTCCAGTTGAGATCAAAATGAAGTTTTTGAAAAGAGTCCATCTATGGATGGAGGTAGTCATTCAGAAACTGTTTTAAATCTTGCCTTTTTGTGTGTCTCTGCTTTCTTGTTTTCCCGTTTGTTTACTAATTGTGCAGTAATAGGACTGGACTACACGGATAAGCATTCAGAGAAACTGCAACTAAGAAGATGTATGTTCATAATATTAAATTTAATTTACTGTTTTGGAGATCGTCTGAGAGCCATTATGAGATTTTGGAGATCATTTCAGCTTGTTTCCTTGTATTTTGAATGCATAAATTCATCACGAGAACAATAAAATGCACCCATCGAGTTGGGTTCTTGAAATTGTGGGATAGTGGCTATTTGGCTTCTTATAATGAAACATTAATTTGCATCCTTCTAAAATATCCAAACAGTCACAAATTAACACCCTTGTTTTGCATCAGTGGTTGCCAAACAAGAAGAGTGTAAAGTGAAGGTAAAATCTGGTCCACAATTGCATGCACCCGAACCGGAGGTGTAATATTTTGCAGTGCGTAAATTTGCATTTACACTCCTTCCAAACGCACCCTTAGGGGTGTAAGTTACAGTCCGGATTCAGTGCGTCTGGACTTGATGGGATTTTCTCTTCGAGTCCATTGAAATTTTGACACGTCAATCTGTTCTCATCTGCCCATCACCTGCAACCAACTGAAACTTTATAAATTTTTTGTAAACAGAACCGCTAGCTACATGGCAAGTGGCAACCGGCTCAACGGTATCTTCAACCCGTTCGATGACTTCACATTCCCGTGCGGTATCTTCAACCTACTGTACTCCTCTTGAATCCGAGCAAGCCCACGAGCAGCTCCTAACACCAAGCTAATCCTCGTCGTCCAGTCCAGAGGTATCCTCCCTGGTCCTCGATTCTCTGATTCAAATCAACTCAAAAGTTAATCCATGCTCAGCTTTATTGAATAAAGACGGTAACAGCGAGAAATTAGCATGGAGAAGAGAATGCAAGCTTCCATTAGAGAGGTAATTGTAGACGAGGAGCTTCTCCTCCTTGGCGTGGTAAATTTGTAATAAGCTCTGAGATGAACCAGGTTAGGATGTTTGAGCTTCCTAATCAAATCCATATACTGTTCAAATTCCTTCCTCGCACATGGGTTGGCGTCCTTGAGCCTCTTCACCGCAACCGTGCACCCATCTTCCAGTACAGCCTTGTAGACTGTTCCTAAACTTCCTTTTCCCAGCATCTCCGCCGATGCCCGAAGCAGGTCCTCTAGCTCAAACTGCTTCCTCCTATCGAAGAACACAAGCTTGCTCCAGTTTGTCGCAGTGGTACTATCGTTGTCTCCTCCTCCACGACCACACACATTATTTAGCTACATCTTGTTGTCACCTGAATTACCGCTGCTTCTTCTCCTGCCTTTTGAATTGGAGATGGAACCATTGTCTCCTGAATTTCCTCCACAGTAGTAAGCAACAACAAACGACGTGACCACTGGTAAAACCACCACAGAATTCACAACCACAATGGYGACGGTGGAGCCGATACTAAGTCCCTTCCAGGACTCCTCTTCCTTCCTTGCCGGACCTGCAACAATACTAGTAGGCAATGAGCTGGGGTTCGACGACACTACGGTCTGCACTGACGCAACTGCCGGAGGGGCATCCAAGAATGAACAAATCGGTAATGGGCTCGGCTCGCACAGCCCTTCATTTCTTGTGATGCTTTGCGATCCGAATTTCTTCAGCAGACCGAATGGCACCCTCCGTAGAACTCGTTGTTAGTTAAGTTTAGCTCTCTGAGCTCCAACAGCATTGCGGAGAGATCTGGAAGCTGCCAGCAAGCACATTATTCTATATTCCAATCGTGAGGCGACGAGTTAAGTTGAGGATCTGCCTGGGGATGGGACCCCGGAGATTGTTGTCAGAAAGGTCTAGCTGAAGGAGACGCTTGAGGGAGCCAATATCGGCTGGGACATCACCGGAGAAGTTGTTTCCGGTGAGGTAGAGGAGCCTGAGATTGGAGCAATTGGTGAGGGGGAGAAGAGTTACCGTTGAGCCGGTTGCCATGGAGCTATCGGTTCTGTTTACAAAAAATTTAGGGGTAATAGCACATAAGGGCAACTTTTGGGGTTTAATATCAATAAAAGTAATATATTTTAAAAAAAAATTAAAAATAGGTTAACTTTTAAAACATTTGTTCACCAGAGCCGCCGCCCGCCACCGTTGTCCACCCACCTCCACCTCCACCTCCTGCAATGTTGGTGGAGGCTGAAGGCAGAGGTGGCGGCGGTGGCGCTGGTAGTTTCTCTGTGACGCCCACCTCCGCCTCTGCCTTCGGCAATGTTGCCGGAGATGGGTGGAGACAGGTGGTGGTGGCGGCGGGCAGAGGAATGACCACCAGTGCAGCCGTCGCCACCGCCACCTCTGCCTCCAGCCACCTCCGGCAACGTTGTCAGAGGCAAAGGTGGGCAGAGGCGACGGACGGCGGTTCTAGTGAACAAATGGTAAGAAGAAGATGAAYAGTGTTTTTRTCCTTGATATTATTTTTAAAAAGTTAATCAAATTTTTTATTTTTTTTAAATATATTAATTTTATTGATATTAAATCCCAAAAATTGCCCTAATATGCTAAAAAAATAATTTTTTATTTAAAAATATTGTTAATGATCATAAAGTTTCAGTCGTTGGCAGGCACTTCAGATTCAGTGTGTTTGGATTCGAAGGGATTTTCTCTTCAAATCCACTAAAATTTTGATGCATCTTTCGGTGCTAGACTGGTCATCACCAGCAACCGGTTGAAGTTTTACTGCTAGTTATGATTGATAAAAATATTTTTAAATAAAAATTGATAAATATAAAATTTTTGTAAAAAAATCTAACTAAATATTGACAAAAAGTTCGAAACCCTCATGTTCTCATACTTGAACCCTTTTCCCCCGACCATTAACGGGAAGACAAAACCTTCCTCACGGTTGTGGCTTTGGATTTGCAAGACAAATCCTTACATTCTCAATCCAAACACAACTCAATCCTTGCTCCTCCAACCATTAATGGGAAGACAAACCTGGTTTTGGCTTTGAATTTGCAAGACATGAGACGTCTTCTTCTTCCTCCATACTAAGCTTCTGAAAGTAAAAACAATAGCTCCAATACTCCAAAGATATCTTTTCAAGAAAAATATATTCAAGTAGTCATGCTATCACACATAGGATTTTCTTTCATGATAGGCTCTCAAAAATTTATATTTTCAAAGGATTCTTGGGTTTCAGATTTTAATACGAAAAAGTGATATTAGGGATTTTCGGGCATAAATCAGTGAATTCATTAACTTGGTCAGTGTTGACAACTTGCCAAATGAGTTAGAGTTAGGATCTTCAGTCTTACAAAAGGATTCTTGGACACAAATCAGCGGGTTCATTAGCCTTTTTATTCTCAGTTTCTGCATTTTGTATTTTGGGGTTTCATTCACCTTTAAAACACTTTGATGTTTGAAACTTTCCATTAATATCATTGCTGTCGTCGCTAAAATCTATAGTTGTCGTTTTGTTGCAGTTTGAACACCATTGATAAGGCTTGTTGTTGTTATTGGTCGGAGGGAGAAGGTTTGAGTCACAAGGCTTTGCAGAGACTGCTCTGCAAGTCTTTTTCGCAAGTTGCAAAAATGTAGATTTTTTTTATATCTTTTATCAATTTTTATTTAAGCTCCAACCGGTTATAAGTAATGGCCAATTAAGCATGAAATGATGTGTCAAAATTTTAGTGGATTCGAAGAAAAAATTTCTTGGAATCCAAACGCACTGAATCCGAACCGGATTGCAAGTGATAGGCAGATGAGAATAAATTAACGTGTCAAAATTTTAATGGATAGAATAGAAAATTCCTTCAAGTCCAAACGCACTCAATCCGGACTGGTAATTTATGCAGTTTTAAAAAATATCTCAGTCGACCAGTCCGCAATTTTACATTAACTGGGTGTAAATTTTCACTTCTTAAGGTACGCCTAGGCCCACAAGTTCAGTTTTATTAAATTTTCAAGCTGGGCTCCATAACCGTAGTTCGAAATCCAACTTGGGCTGATTGAACAACCCAAACTCGGCCCGGGTTAAAAAAAAAAAAATCAAAACGACTAAGCGCTGACCCGGCCGAGACGCTTGAATAAATGTCTTCGCTACCAAACACTACTTTATCCTTCACCCAATCACCCCCAGTCCTCCACCGGTTTCCCCGCATTTCTTTCGACTTGGCTTCTCTCTCTCTCTCTCTCTCGCTAAAAATGGCAGCGTCCGCACACCATCTTCTCTGCAACCTCAGCACATTCAAATCAACCAAAGCCAAGACTAGGTTCCGCAATGAGTCGCGAAAGCTCGGTAGAAAATCGTTGCGATGCGAGCAGACTGTTGTCGATAATAGACGAGCCACGGTGAAGAACAGTAACGATTCCCTGGAGATCTGCCGAGTCCTTAACGGAATGTGGCAAACGAGCGGCGGGTGGGGCAGAATCAACCGAGATGACGCCGTCGAAGCCATGCTTCAATACGCCGACGCCGGCCTCTCCACCTTCGACATGGCCGACCACTGTGAGCTCACTACCCTATCCCTTCCCTACCTCCCTACTTCCCTTTTTTTCCTCATACTGTTTCATTCAATTTCCTTGATTAATCAGAGTCGTCCACATCCTCGTTTGGACGGTTATGTATATATGACAAACGGTCTACAGATGTGTTGTTTCTTTGGACGGATAAGATCGTTCCATATCGAAGTTGGTGTCTGCACGAACTTCTATGTTTTAACTGTATAACACTTGTTAGAAGGCAAGAGCAACGTGGCATTCAACTGAATGTCAGTTGAATAGATAAGAAGGAGAGGAGAGCAACATATTAATCGCTAATGACTATACACTACCCTTGACTCGCATTCTTACTGCAACATTGCAGCTTTACTGTTTTCTTCCTCCGGCAAAAATGGCAGCATCCCTGCACCATCCCTTTAACAACCTCAGCTTCAAATCATTCAAAACTGAAACAAGAATCGGTTCTAAATCGAAAAAGCTCGGATGGAAGCCATTCCGCTGCGAGCAGGATGTGGAAAATAGGCGAGCTCTGGTGAAGAATGGGAAGGATTCCTTGGATATATGCCGGGTTGTGAATGGGATGTGGCAGACCAGTGGTGGTTGGGGAAGTATCGACCAGGACAATGCTGCTGATACAATGCTTCGATACGCCGATGCCGGACTAACCACATTCGACATGGCCGATATCTGTTAGTCTCTTGAAATAAAATTGATAAATCATTCTCATGGTTGAAAACTATTTGATATTGAACATGGGCAGCTTATGCATTTCTACTGTGAATATAATAGGATGATGCTAGTGCATGTGCACTGTACATAATGCACATTGGTTTTTTAATGGTTTCTTTGGTTCTGCAGATGGACCTGCAGAAGATCTGTATGGGATTTTTATCAACAGAGTCCGCCGGGAACGCCCACCTGAGTTACTCGATCAAATCCGAGGGTGAGTTCCAACTTCTGACTGTGTAGTTGTAGACTTTTAGATTTGTTCTGTATTGGCTAAATAATGTGTCTTTCTCTGTCTTTTTGTGTGCTGGAGAGAAGGGGGAGTGTTCTGGAGTCTAGAACACAATTATTTGGTTGGAATTTGAAGTTTTAGACTTTTAATTGCATGTTTGAATTCAGTTTCATGATTCAGTTCTTTTATTTTATTTATTTATTTATTTTTCCTTCCATCCACAATGTTTGTTGGTCAATAAAAAAAAACCTAGAAATCGCCACCAGGTGACCCCATCTTAACAGCAGCAACCAAAAGAAGAAAATGAATTTCAAATACAGCACTTGTACTTGAAACTAGAGGCCCTTGCCAATTCAAACAGGTTGCCCCATATGAACCTACTGTTGTTTAATTAGTAATTTGACTTTTTTTTTTTGATAAAATGTGAGGTAAAGTAGCCCCGGTAGGTGCTAAATGAGTCGTATCGGTATAATAAGAGGCCGTTTGATTGATAACGGCTGAAGTTGATCAACTGAACAACTTACTGCTTTGTCTTTTTAGTGGATAAAATAACTAAATAGTAAAAATTCAAGGATACAGCAATTTACCCAACTTCTGTCTCAACCATTAAGGAGCCCACAACCTCCTTAAAAATCGTTAACCAAAAAACAAAACAATAAGCTTTTAGTTTAGCTACTTCATCTGTTATCATATGGCCCCAAAAATGGTTTACTGATGTGCATAGAATACCATATACAGCACCAATAGTAAGAGATCCGTTGGCTATTGCAAGTTGAAGGTTCTAGCTAGAAGAGCTAGGGACAGGCCAGAAAAGATACTGGTTGAAGTAGTGAGAAATGATTTGAGGGGCCATGGTTTATCAATTGGCATTAGGGGTTGATTGAAGTAGTGAGAAATGATTTGAGGGGCCGTGGTTTATCAATTGGCATTAGGGGTACAAATGGATCGGATCATGATCCGATCCGATCCTATTTGGTTGAATTTGAATCACCCCTGTTCGGATCTTAGGATTGGATCGGATAATATCGTATTCAGATCCCCCTATCCGATCCGAGATCTGATCCTATATATATATTATATAAATATATATAATACATATATACGTTACTTATTTATTTATAAATATATTTTTATAAATTTGTTATATTATTTATTTTTTATAAAAAACATGTATATATATGATGAAAATAATTAAAAAATACTTGTATTTTTTGTTTTTACTTCATCTAAATTAGTATATTGTTTAATAATTTATTAATTTTTAAAGAAAACAAGTCAGATCAGATCAGATCCAAAGATCTGACTTACTGATGGGATTCAAATTCAAATCTGAGTCCTATCAGATCGAATCCAACATGAACAGTGTCAAGTCGGATTTGAATATACCCTGATTCAAATCCGATCCAATCCATTTGCATCCCTAATTGGCATGGCACTAAATAGAGCAGCATGGTGAAAAAGGATTCATGCAATTGACCCCATATAGTTGGATGAGGTTTTGTGGAGCTCAGTTTGCTAGCTTGAAGGGGTTCTATCCATTTAATTAATTTGTTTTGGGGTGTGGATCCTGTTATTACTATCACCATTGTTCTTGGATGTTAGTTCTTGTGGGTTATGTTAGATGAAAACTGGTAAGTTTTTGCTATAGCTGCCTGCTGAGCTATAACCCATTTCACATTTTTCTGATTTTCCCCTCCCCTGTTCCATGGTCAATACCAGGAGAAATTTGGTTGGTTGAGAATCACTGAGAGAGATTTAGTTGGTTTAGAATCTAGATAGACATTGACACAATTGAAGAAGCTCGACCATGATTCTCTAACCTCTATCATTTGTGGTTTTGTTAAATTTATTTTATTTGATGAACTGATGTAAAGTTGTAAAAACGAAATGAGGATCTTTTTTGCAATTCTGTTTCAAATTTATTATTTACCAATTTCAATCTGGCTATTAATGAAGTTAATGGATGATTTGTATCTTAACATATGATGGGGAAGTAGCTAGTAAAGAGCTTGTTTAAATTAATCTCATAGTAGTCACAAATTCTTTTATATATAGTAACTAATACAAAAAAGAATGAAGTGCTCCATTGGGATAATGGAAATTCCACATGGATATAAACACTGTAATATACAAGTACAGTCATAAAGGATGATAAAATTAGCTCAATGTTCTGCTTCTGTGATGCAGCCTTACGAAGTGGGTGCCACCTCCCGTTAAGATGACAAGTAGCTATGTCCGAGAGAGTATAAACGTTTCACGGAAGAGAATGGATGTTGATTGTTTAGACATGCTTCAGTTTCATTGGTAATCATCTCCTTTCTCTGTTATCCTACTTGTTAATTGAATGCATATTGGCTTTGGATTTTACCTGCTTAATCAACTCAATGAGGAATCCTGTCTGAATTGATTCAAACTTTATTCAAGTTGCTCATTTATCTTCTAGAAATGGGTCTAAAACATAAGTTGACTTGAAACTTGATAAAGCATTTTAATGAGTTTCCTGTCATATGATTTCTTTGATTACTTGATCAGGTAGTCCAAGTTCTTGTGAAACTGTTGCATTTCTTTGGCCTGTTCCAGCTTTGATTAGATATTTAGATTCACTAAAAACAGAATTTTAGAAGTTTCTGCTTGTGTATTTAAATTTTTCATTTTCTAAATAATTGCAACATTATGCATAAATTTAAGAGATTCAAGAAATAAAGAATCTTAAATGTTGTTTTTCTCATGTCCTTCTAGATTTATATGTGCTTTTTTCATAAATGATGGTTGTATTGATGGAAGGGAGAGATATCCTCAAACAAAAAGCAACATGCATAAATTTATATATGCTTTTTTCATAAATGATGGTTGTATTGATGGAAGGGAGAGATATCCTCAAACAAAAAGCTACATGCATAACTATCTCTTATTATTGCATCCTTGTCTTGTGCTAACGTGAATAAAGAAGGGAAATTTTCATACAGAGGTTTCATTCCACACCAGATATCTTTCCAAAAATGAATGTTCACCCTCTCCAGGTTTAAAAGTTATGAACTGTGAGAAAGAGTCTTTGGTTTTCATGATCCTTTCAATAGGTGCTTTGAATGGGTGTTTTCTCCCAATCTAGAGACAAGCTTCCATATTTACTCTTCCTTCTCAATGTCATATCATCAAAGCCATTTCCCTGGGTAAATTACAGGAAACCCCTATATGTTGGATGTTGGGGAGTTTGACTTTTAGCTTTCTATATTACTTTTTTACACTTACCCCCTATACTTTTGTATATTGGTTGTATGATCCTTTCCATTACCATTGTCAAAGGAATAGATGGTAAACTCCCATGTGCATGCCCCCTGCATTGTTAGACAATCCTAAAAACCTAAAATGTTCTTTATCTTGATTTATGGTATAGTTTTACTCTTTTTCGTTTAATACTATTAAGAAAAAATATTTGTGGTCATGATCTTCTAACCAAAGATCTAGACCATAAAAGTTGAGCCTCAAAATGAGTCAACTAATCTTGGAAATCCATGGAAGCAGAATAGTAGATTCAGCTAAAGGCATGGTCCATAAATTGGTGTCCTAATATCAGTCATAAAATCTGTGCTTCAAGCAATGCATCAATATTTATAAAAACAATCCATGTAGTGCAAGTGATATTACCAAATCAACTCAAAAATCTAGGCCAGAAAAGTGGTGTCTTAATAGTACACCAAATCAACCCAAAAGGCCAAAAATCTACATTATCAAATTAGTCTTTTAATTTTAAAAAATTAACCTTGACTATTCAAATAATGTAACAAGATAATCTTGGCAATTCAATTAAAATACAAAAAGTTTAAAGAAATCTTGGCCATGTAAAGTGATGTGCCAATAAAACCTAAGATCTGGACCATCAAAATGGCCTCTCCTAATATGAGTCAATTAATCTCAACCATCCAAATGATGTACCAAGATTTCATCTAATCACACCCAAAGATCTAGGCCATCAAAGTGGTCTCCTAAGATCAGTGAAATTAAACTCAGGCAGCCAAGTAGTATACCAAGATATAAATTACTCATCCCTTCAAGTAATGCACAAAATTTTCTAAAAAGCCCATACTTTAAACTGATGTATCAAATAAAACCAAAGACCTGGAACATCAGAATGGCCTACTAAGATCAGTCAATTAATCTCAGACATCCAAATAATGTAAAAAGGGTTCATCTATTTCTAGCCCATCCAAATGATGTGGCAAATCTACCCAAAAGATCTAAGCCATCAAAGTGGTCTCCTAAGATCAATGAATTAATCTGAACCATCCAAGTAATATACCAATATTTCAACTAATCTAGTTCATCCAAATAGTATATGAAAATAACCCAATCTAGCCCTTCAAAGTGGTTTCCTATGGCAATGGCTTAATCTTATCTATCCTAGAATATATAAATTAACTGAAATTTAACATAAACACTGCCCTTGATTTCTATCTAAGATAGCAAAATAGCCCCCTAAACAGTAATCTCAGCCATCCAAATGATTGTACCAAGGTTTCAGCCACTACCACTGGCTCTAACATTGCTTCCATTATTGTTTCATCCACCTCTGTTGTTGTTCATGCACCACTTCCAGTTAATCCTTCCCTATACTCCCACCTTCTCCACCATTCTCATCAGGACATGCTCCACCATAGCCAGTCTACTCACCTCCACTTTCTCTAATGTTTTCATTATAATACCACTTCCACCACTAGTTTAATCATTACTTCCTTCATATCACCTGCCTTAACCACTTCATTCAATCTCATCCATCAAAATGGCCTCCAAAGATCAGTCATCTCAGCCATCCAAATGATGTTATAACTTATAAGGTCTCAGCCTCTACCACCTTCCTTACAACCAGTATCCCGAACACTGCCACTGCATTCATCTACTCTGCCTCCACCACCATTGCCCACAAACTACCACCTGTCTAATATTTCTCTTCACCTTCACCTTCTTCTCTACCATTCTCATAAACATCTTCTCCACTAGGGACAATTTACTCACATCCACTTTTACCTCTGCCTCCACTACTAACTCTATATTCCCCTTTATTATTTCTACCTTCTCCATCCCCATATTATCCTGTATTACCATATCTATTGCCACCACAAACCATTGCCCTCCACTTTCTCGTTTTTCCTTCAAAAAACATCAAAAAGGTTCATAAGCATTTTGGTAATTAATCCACTCACTGTTTACACCTTTGGGAGGTTTGGCATTATGTGAAAGTATCGAGGCAGGCAAGGGGTCCCTATAATTTTCCTATTACTTATGATAACATTATATATAAGAAAGTGTAGTCATAAACTGTCCTCATATTCTAAAGTATGTATGGCTTCTTGTAAACTATTTGATTTATTAACATTTGAAACAGGTGGGATTACTCCAACCCTGGCTACCTTGATGCACTTAAACACCTTACAGATCTGAAAGAAGAAGGTTTGTTTGATTTTTGTTGTATTAAAATCCAAACCTATGTTTTCTTGATTTGCTTGGATTACTCTGGTGGAAGCATGCAGGTAAAATTAAGACAGTGGCTTTGACAAACTTCGATACTGAGAGATTGCAAATAATCCTGGAAAATGGGATTCCAGTTGTTAGCAATCAGGTAAGCTACATCTATTTTTACTCTTTTGTATGTTTTTCTTTCCACTGTGATCCTGTCAAAACGAGGTCTACTACTTTGCTAATGCAAAAGGTTTGTGGGTTTTCTTTAGGTGCAACACTCTATTGTTGACATGCGTCCCCAACAAAAAATGGCAGAACTTTGTCAGCTTACAGGAGTTAAACTGATAACGTCTTTCTCTCTCTCTCTCTCTCTCTCACACACACACACACACACAAAGAAAAGCAACTTGGGTAGTCCTAATTTGTTAACAAGATGAATTGGCTATTTTGACTCCTAGAGCATGTTTTCTAGTTCATTTTTCCTCTTGAATGGGCCATTAAAAATATTGTTTTGTTGCCTATGGTCTATAAAAGAGGTGGCCTCTAAATTGAACATTGTTAGCTTATAACAGGTGTGCCATATATATTCAATGACTGAAAAGTTACAGCTCTGTATATTCTCAACCTTATAGAATTTAAAATGCAGGTATGGAACAGTGATGGGTGGTCTATTGTCTGAGAAGTTCCTTGATACAAACTTAGCCATTCCTTTTGCTGGTCCCCCATTAAACACTCCCTCCCTCCAGAAGTACAAAAGGGTATTACTCAAACATCTATATGACTTCATTGACCACAGTTGTGAATGTGACAATTCTCGGTATGAGCTTTTTATAGAAAAAATTGTGTAGACATCTAACTGACATGTTATGTCTTCTTCATCTTGTTAATTAATGACAGTTAGCATACAGAGATTGTTTCTTTAGGGATCAGATTATAAACTTATAATTGAATTGGTAACGCTTTGAGTTCTATGGTTCATTGATAAATTTTTCAGATGGTAGATGCTTGGGGAGGTTGGAGTCTATTCCAAGCTTTGCTTCAAACACTAAAGAAGATAGCTTCCAAACATGGGGTCACAATCCCAACTGTGGCTGTGAGGTACATACTAGATCAGGTATAGTTGCATTACCTACGTATCCGCGTATCATAGACATAGAACTTGTTCGTGTAGCTTTTGAAGTTACCCGTTTGAGTAACGCTTCTTGTTTTGCTTGGAGGAACTGCAGCCAGACGTGGCAGGATCAATGATAGGTGTTAGACTTGGTCTGTCGGAACATATTCAGGACTCCAATGCTATATTTTCACTTACTCTTGACAATGATGATGTAAACAGCATTCAAGAAATATCAAAGAGAGGAAAAGATCTTCTGAGAGTCATTGGTGACTGTGGAGATGAATATAGGCGTGCATGAACTTTTCTTATAAAAAAACATCAAAATTTGGTATTTTAGAATTTGTATACAGCATTAATAAGTGATTGAGAAACATTAGCCCTTTTATCTCACTCAAAGATGTATGGGACAATGCAAAGGACTAGAGAAATTGAGGGCTAATGCAAATTTATTTGCACTAATGCAAACCTGTGGTAATGCAAATGATTTGGATGCAAGTTTTAATTTATTTTTATTTCAGTTTTTACCTTATTTTGTTTCATTGCAGTAAAAATGAAGTAAAATAAGACCTGAAGCAGAAAAGAGCAAAATCCAAAACAAAATTAAACCAAAATTTTCATTTTTTTTATTTGTACTCCCATGCATTTGTACTAGTGCAAATAAAATTGCACTGTAACCAAACGCAGCCTAAAGGCTCAATTTGGAAGCAATACAAATGCAAATATGTTATTATGTACAGTGCAAATAAAGATTTAAAAATACAAAATACAAAGCCTTGCACTGTACATATCTGTATTTGTACGCTTCCAATAAGAGTACAAATACAAATATGTATTGGGAAGTGTACAAATACATAATCCACAACCTTGTATGTTGTATTGCACAGTATTACTACAAAGTTTTTGTACTGTATTCTTACCAAATTGAGCCTAAGTGAGCCAAAGGTAAATGGATGGCTCTCCACCTCAAATTTTGGGATTTCAAATAGGGTGAACACCAGAATACCCGCTTCAGAACCAATCAAATTTTAGATGTGGCTAATATATCTTATCTTCTCTAGAAATTCCTTGGCCTTGGTCATTTTGCAGCATCATGTAGAAGCTTGATTTGTCTTTTCATTCATCCAATATACCCTCTCCATCATAAAACTCGAAATGTTATTCTTCATTTTCCCATTACCTCTCTATTTAAGTGGCTGCAGACTATCAGCATCAAAGAGGGTAACTTAAACACTTTGTGATCACCATCTCTAGCTGAATGGAAAAGAGGATTAAACTAAAATTAGAAATCCTAAACCCAATCACTGAAAATACATGTATACGGGTACGGCAAATAAATGGATTGCTTCATTCTTTTTAAAAGAGAGATGGGATTCCAAAGTGCTTCCAATCTCATTTGTGGTCACATCATACAATCTGCAATACTCATAACAGGAGTCCAACTCCAGACTTAAAGAGCATGAGCATCATAACATTGGTAGAAAAATGGACTATGCAGAAGTAATCTATTGACACATGAAATCAGACACCCAACATTTTCTCTAAATGCCATGAAGATTCACTCTTATATGAAAATGTGGCAAAAGCAGCACAAACACATCCTGAGTTATATCGATCAAAAAAACAAAAAAACACGTTCTGAGTTATCCAATGTAACACTACCAAATGCTTATCAAAAGTGGGCACATTATCAAGAAGCCTTGAAATATCACAATAAAGAGGGCCCTTAAAAACTATCAGTTGAAAATGGCTTTATGGATATTTTTCATTTGCCACCCGATGAAGAGTAATTTGACCCTCCAAGTAGCATTACAACACGTGGTATCCAAGTGACACCTCATCACTGAATAAGCAAACCATCTCGGCAAGTCAATTAGTAGCATTTTGCCTAAGGCCGACCTAAAGTATCCCTGCTCGGCCAACCTAAGGGACTCCCATGCAAGGAGCGACCTCCCTTGCAGCCCGGCCGGACTAAGCAAGGTACAAGTGGCAACCTGTAAGGCATGCTCGCCAACCTATTACATGGATCCATTACCAGACCAAGTTCTCCAGAGTGATAACACTCGACCATTAGGCCAATCTACCCGCATCAGAATCGACCGAACAGACCTTAGCTCTCTGCGTAGATTTATAATTGACGGAGATACTCTCTCCCAACTTAGTAGAAATGACTCTTCAGGAATCTAGGGCCCGTTACAGAAAATCTCTAATCCCTCACACCTATATAAAGGCACCACTCTCCTCTAAGAAGGCACGCACGACTAAGCTTTCGCATTCTCCAAACTTCTTACCATTGTAAAGTCGCTAACTTAAGCATCTAAGTGCCCACCTTGGATAAAAACAACCCAGGCACTCTAACATTATTCTCTTGTAGAACTACTTAGCTCGACTAGACTTAGCTCGGCCACCGACAAGGGAAACCTCCGACTCGGCATCTGAGCCACTTGCCAAGTGAGAGCTGCCAAAATCGTGCACCATCACCATCTATAAATAAAGGTTAACCGTGTAATAAAATTTAAAAAGCCAAACCTGGTGAGCCTCTTGAGAAAGAATGATACAAGTCACAAGGTCTAGAGAAGAGTTCTTGGAGTATGAAGTCTCTCGGTAGGTTCTGAATCTACGGATGAAAAAGAGGAAGAATTCAAAAATTAATATGCATTAAACAATTGAAAAATAAAAATAAAGAATTAAAATTAATAAAAGTATTTAAAATAATAAAATTATAATTTATTAAATAACAAATTAAATTAATAATTATTTATTATTTATTTATTATACATTCTCGAAAATTAACAAATTTAGAATAACCAAATATATTTATTCATTGGGGTAAATTGTAAAATATGCATTTTTTCGGTTACAAGAGTCATTTGCAGTGAAGTAATTAGCACAAACTATGAGCAGGAGTAATCCATAAGCCCATTAAATTTCTTCAAGACAGACAGAAAAAATGAAAGATGTAATTCCGTTTCCTTGAAATCCAATTTCAAGCCATTCATATTTTCAGATATATTCCTCTCCTTCCTTCTTTTGACTCAAACAATGCAAAAAGGTACAGCCTCCATTTTAATGGACCTCTTCTATTATAACTCCCACAATTGAGACACCACCTCCTCGTGGGATTTGTATAGGAAGCAAATGCTCCTTGCTTTTAGTTTTTCCCATCCGTTCTGTAAACAATATTTTAGATGAAATCAAGGATTCATTTTGGTTACAGAGCCAACTTTTTCTAAATCAAGTTTCTATGGTAAGGTAAGCTATTTTCAAAAGTCAAACCCCAGATTTTCCAACCTAGTTTCAGGCTTTCAATTAGTTTTCCATCTATTCATTCCTATAACAAGCATAATTTACATCAGCAATTGTATCCCCATTTTTTTTTTGATAAATAATTGTATCCCCATTTTCACATTCATTCCTCCAACCATAGTGAGTCCATCACCATTTAGTCCCCACAAAAATAATCCATATTTACATTTGTACACTTCTATGTAATGTGCCCTACCACATATCCCTGCAACTGCACCTCCCATTTTTGAAGTGGTGGAAATTGCACGAGTCCTTGATAACCAAGTCTCGGCCTATGAAGGTGGACATGAACTTACAAGCAGAATGACAATCTCCACACATCCGTACACTCTTGACTATCCGTATTGGTATTCCATGGGGTAATGTAATTAACCCAAAAGCCAAGGCCTTCATTTCGGTATGAGGAAGACCTACATATTCTTCCTCTTCTGCATTGTGCAGCACATGGTTTGCATCAGAAACATAGCCTAGTTCCTCCATCTTTCCTTCAAGATCAGCTAATTTAGCAGAGATTTCTGCTGGAATGTGGTTTGCAACAAACTCATAGATGGTATTTTTAACTTCAATCCAACTAGAATTCATTCTCATGGGTTTATTCTTGGTTTGTAACTTTGATGCTTCATTCCACTTCCCTACAGTTAAGAGAACCTGTTCTAGAAGTAGATTTGCACTTAGGTCACTTGGTTCCAGTTCTAGAAGCTTCTCTGCTGCATATTTTGCAACCCCCATATTGTTATGTATCCGGCATGATGAAAGAAGAGTCTTCCAAATTAAGGGACCTGGTTCAAATGGGATGGCTTCATCAATGAAATCCAGAGCATCTTCAAATCTTCCAGCTCGTCCCATCACTTCAACCAAGCAGGAATAATGTTCCATGGATGGTTTAATTCCATATATTTCATTCATAGAAATGAACAAGTGAAATGCTTCATCTACCAGACCTTTTTGAGCGCATGCCTTCAAAACAGAGGTAAATGTGCTTGACTCCAATGATTTGTTTTTCCACTTTATCTGGCTAAACAACTCTAGAGCTTCAGATGCATGACCATGATCCACATTCGCAGAAATGATTGATGTCCAAGAAGCAGAGTTCCTGTCATGCATTTTCTTGAAAGCTGTGTCTGAATCAGCAATTCTTCCACAGGCAGAATACATCCTAATAAGAGAATTGCCAGTTACAGGATCCGCAATGAAACCCCTTTTGGTAATATAGGCCTGAGCTTGTGTTCCTACATTTAAAAGGACTGGGTCGGCACAGGACTCAAGAATGTAAGAGGCTGAGGTTGGGTCAATATCCCCTTTAGACTGCTGAATCCTATGTAGAATTTTATGAGTTGTTTCATGGTCTTTAACACTTGAGCAGGCCTGGATCAAGAATCCCCAAGCAATGTCAGCCTCAGGGATTAAAAAGCTCAATTTGAGAGCATGTTCAAGATGCCATTTTTCTGAGTAAACATTAATCAAAGTGTTAATGATAGAAACATTTGATCCATAACCTGATCTGAGTATCTGGCAGTGCAGCTCTTTTACCTTTGTTATATCTCCCAGAGCTAAGCAAGCTAGAAGAACAGAAGTGTAGGTGTACTCATTAGCTTTGTAAAAGTCAAATTGCATTTCCTGAAATAGTCTAAGAGCTTCTTCAAACCAACCATTCCAACAATATCCTGCAATGATTGCAGACCATGGAACTGTGCCGGGGTTTTTTACTTCCGTAAATACCCTCCAAGCTGCTTCTACGATACCACACTTTGAATACATGTCAATCAACGAACTCATGATATATGCATCATATGTCAAATCCAGTTTTATGATCTGTGAATGGAACATTTTTCCTGTTTCAATATCTAATCTCAAAGAACACCATTTTAAGATGCTAGAAATGATGAATTCATCACATTTCCCTCCTTTTAAGCGGTTAAAGATCTTAGGAGGAACTTCATCTGTGTGATTCCATCTCTCATGGTCATTGCACTCAATATACATATCCAAAAGAGAACTGATTACATAAAGATTTGATTCAAATCCAGCTCTGATTATATATCCATGAATTTCCCTGCCATGATCCAACTCTCTTAAGCTAGTGACAGCTTGAAGTATACTAGCTAGTGTGTACTCATCACAGTTAGAAACTTCATCCATTAGTGCTCGAAAGATCCTCAGTGCTTCAAGGCTCTGGAGATTATGCACATGACCCTTAATGACAGTATTCCAGGAAACCAGATCTCTATCTGTCATCTTGTCAAAAACCAAATTCGATGAGTCCATATCTCCACATCTTGAATAGAATTCCATTAAACTATTCTTCAGAAACAGGCAAGAATCAAAACCCATCTTGATTATATAGCAGTGGATCTGAACGCCATAATCCAAGCAACTCAAATTTGCGCATGCTCCAAGTGCCATTGACAAAGCAAAATCATCTAGTGCAGTTCCAGCCCGAAGCATCTCACAAAAGAGGCCAAGCCCCTCTTCCTCAAACCCATTCTGCATATAACCACATAGCATTGAGCTCCAAGATAATAAATTGGGTCGCACGATTCTAGCAAAAACACGAGAAGAATCAGAGAGAGACCCACAGTTAGCATACATGCTCACAAGTGCGTTCTCTACAAAAGAGTCAATCGCACCATCGGTTTTTAAAATCCTGCCATGGAGCTGACGCCCGTAATCGAGATTTTCCATCACGGAACATGCACGCAGAACAATGGAAAAAACAAAAGAATCTGGAATGAGTGATTCATTATAATGATCTTGCACCATATCTTGGAACATCATCAATGTTTCAGTGGCTGGTCCATGACGGGTGTATCCTGACATGAGTATAGTCCATGAGACAAGAGTCCTTACGGGCATTTCATCGAACAGTGCCCGTGCTTTACTCATGAGAGCGGCACTTACATAAAGCTGTAGGTAGAGATTGAAGAAGAAAAGGGTCCGTGTGCTATGCCTATGGAATTGACGTGCATGATTTGCTTTGAGCTTCTTAATGTCATGGGTGGTAATGTTGTTGCTTTGAAGAAGATGGCGTGGGTGGTGAATGTGGTGGATTGACGGAGAGAAAGGGGAAGGTGGAAAGGACGGAATGGCGCATGTTAGCATGGATTGCATGAATTCTCAAGTTTCGTATTTTGAGGTCCGCCGAAGTTGAGCAGAGGCCGGGGCCGGGTTGCTTTACCGGAGTAACTGGCGGCGAATGCTGGAAAGATGATGCGAGTGTCTGCAGAGGCAAACCAGAAGTGAGAAGATTGGGCTCAGCTAAGACAAGGGATGTAGGATGTCAATGTTAAATGGTAAACCCGACTTGACCGGGTTAGGGTCAATATATTTGGTTTAGGGTCGGGTTAGGGTTTTGATTTTAAACTGAATGGGTTCAGATTTTGGTTGACCCGCCCTATCGGGTCATGATACTCTGCATATATATAAAATATTTTTGTAACTTTTTTACTTTTAACTCTATAACTTTAACGTTTAAGATTATTTGTATGTTGGTTTTGATTTTTTTTTTAAATGGGAAAAGTGATATCTTGGATTCTATAAAATAATTTTCTAACTTAAATTAATAGATTTTAGGTCTTCAAAATGTATTAAAAAAATACAATTTAAATGTTATAAGTTAAGTCAGGGCGATATCGGATTAGACCCTATAGGGTTGGGTCAGGTTCAGAAACCATGTATTTTTTTAAGACGGTTCGAGTTGATTTAGGTTGAGGCATTGTAAGGTTGGGTTAGGGTTGAGACAAACTCGTGCCAAACCTAACCCATTGTCATCCCTAATTAAGACTTTGTCTGAATGCATATGGGTGAAGCGGTCATTTGAGTTGTAATAAAGGGGGCAAGAACGAAATTTCACTAGTTAACGATTTAGAACGAGAAATTAGGGGCTACACAATGGGGGTAGCACGTCCCCAGAAATCAAAACAAGAAATGAAAACTAAAGCTCTAGGGATACTGAGACAACATTAGAATCATCATGATTTGTAAGCCAATCTGCAACCATGTTTCATTCTCTAAAAATGTGCTCCATCAATGTTAAATATTCAGGAGATTGGAATCTAGATAGCATATTTTCACATAGTAATCAGCATAACCAACTTGATACCAATCAATTGGTTAAAACTTCCTTTTCATGTGAGAGGTCCCTTAGTTGATGCAATTGGGATTTACTCCTCACAGAGCCATGGTTCAAATTATCGATACGATACGCCCAGTATGGGGTGTATCGTATCGTATCTTTTCAAAAAGATACGGTCCGAAATGCTTATTTCCAAGTATTTCGGACCCCCAATTTTTTTAATAATAAAAAGCATGTTAAAAACTTTCCAAAAAACCAATGTGAAAAAAAAAAACTAAAAAAATAAAGTTTCAACCGCTTCTAAGTACCGATACAATACGACTGAAACTCGTATCGTATCAATACTTTGAACCTTGCACAGAGCACACCTCACACCAAATTTACATCATAGCTATCATGTATTGGGAACATCTCCATGAATAACAACACAAAATACCAGAGATTGAACAAACAATTTCAAGTTCAACCCCCAATAGGGATGGCATGGCAATAGGGCAGTTTCATAAATTCTAGATCCTATCCACCTCCGAACCSGTCCCTGTCCCAAAACCTGTAGCTGATTGGATTTTGAGAATCTAAACCATCACTACACATGAAAATGCAAAACCCTTACAAACCATATAACACAAATAAACAACAAAATTTCTAATTATTTGATTAAGATATATAGAAAACACATATATTATCAATTATCCTTTACATAAAATTCAAAGCATTATTAAATTTAACACAGTATATAAAATTTATATGCTTTTCAACAATATGCAGGTGAGAGAGGGTCAAGTTTAGCCTAATACCCAAGGATTAAAGTATCGGTATTAGSTATCATATCGGATAATTCAGATACGGATACGAATACAAAGATGGAGACGAAGACAAAGACGGAGACAGAGACRGATACGCTTTGGAAACGCATGGATATGAACGAAAAAAGATGAAAACGCATGGATATGCTAGGAAGATACATACAAATTTCATAAAAATATTACTAACACTAAATATAAAATCAAAATGATCACAAAATAATATATAAATACATAAAAAATGTAAATACTAAGATTATATGTGAAGAAATATATTACGATTAATAAACTGGGATGCATAATTTTATTTATAGTGCATCAATCAAGAGTCCAAGACACTAAACATATGCACCTATTATATTTTAATTATTATATCAATTATTTTTTATTTTACTATTTTAATTTTTTAATATTAAGAAAAAGTCAACTAAATGTTAAATTTTCAAGTGTAAATTAAAATATCAATTAATAATTTATAAAAATATAATCTTCACTTAAAGTATATCAAATTTATTAAAATTTCTAAGATACATATAATATACAAATTCATAGTTTTTAATTACTAAAATAATTATTCCATTATTAATATTTTTATTTCTATAAATTTTATGAAATAAAAAATCATCTTTTGAAATAAACGTAGATTAATGGATTTGATAGATTCAATTTAATATTATATTCTTCAATATTTTGTATATAATATTTTTAATTTTTGTAAATAATAAATATGTTGCTATTACTTATTAATGTAAATTAAAATATTAAGTTAATGACTAATAAAAGTACATAAAAATTTTAAGATTTATATCATATGCAAATTTATAAACTTTAAGTATTAAAATAATTATTCTATTATTAATATTCTATTTGTATAAATTTCTTGATATTAAAAACCAATCTTTTTTATATAAATGTAGATTTGATACATTATTTATTCTATTAGTTTATAAAATACTATTCTTAAATATTATTTTTTTAATTTTTAGTTAAAATTGTTAAATATAAATACGTTTTTTATTTAAATTGGATATGAACACAAAAGGTTAATAAAATTTATTTTATCTTATTTTATATCACAAATTGAAGCATGACTTAGTGGTTTGGTAGCGCAATGAGATAAATGTGATTTGATGATACCAATACGTTATGTATCTCATATCATTAGTAATCGATACCAATACAATACGCCTCGTATAGGACATATCGTATAAATCCTTGTTAATACCCAACCCATACTTGTATAGGTTGTAGAATCTCAAAACCCATCCTTCAAGGGAAAAAAAAAACACCCCATTAGGGAGGGTAAGAGTGGGTATCCACTAGTAAGGGTAGAAATTACCATCCCTAACCCCCACCAACACTTCCCAAACCCAAGGTTCAAAGTATCAATACATATCACACACAATACATATTTTTAGAGTCAGCCATTACAAAAAGTTATGATAAATGGCCATATGGAATGGTTCAAAGCTTGAAAGTTGAAACAATTTCAATCCATGAGTATCACCCCTTTCAATCACAATACTCAGGTATGGATGCTTTGAACCATCCCCCCCCACCCCCCCCCCCCTGCCAAAAGTAAACTCAGAAAGCCCAAACCTTAAATTATAACCCCCATTTGGGTGCCAATATTTCTATGCAGGAAGCACATTCTCAGGAAAGAATATTGTAAGACAGTCTGCATTTTCGTCTTTTCTCATCTAGCCATCAAAAGACTCTAACCAAACAGTCTATGGGCTGTCAAGATCTTTCTATAAAAACCCACTACGTCTTTTGGCTGTCAAATCTTCCAAAAGATCTTTCAAAAAAGACATTGCCAAAGACTAACAAAACTTCACATGACAAAACGACTGGTCAATTTGCAGAACCAAACATTAGATCATTTATTTTGTTGATGCCAATATCAGATATAGGCTCGATTGGCTGTTCGTCCCCTTCCATAGGCACAAAGCTTGAAGGCTCTCTACTGTATTCATCTGAGAATTTAAAAAAATTATTAGATTCAAGTACATATAACTATGAAAACATGATATCTTATTATTTTACAAGGTAAAATTTAAAAACCTAACCAAGGATCGAAGACCATACACAGCTCACACTGATATGGAGCAGAGCAAAATGAAATGTTCTTGACCTCCTTTTAGAAAAAGTAACTAAAAAAAGAAAGAAGTTGATGTAATTAATTATTTAAGGTAGTGTTTGACAACATTCCAATGGAATGTTTGTGGTGTTCCTGGAACCAAAAATAAACCATCCTTTGCTCAAGAAACACCAGAAACATTCCCGTCACATGACATCAAACAATGCCTAATAGCTGAGTATTAGTTTTATTAACTTCACCTTTAACTGGTACGCTTCATAAATTCTACCTTGAATTTTAATACCTAATGGTGCAACTGTATTGTTTCTGACAAATCTGAATAAATGGAATAAACCAAAAAACACTTCTTTTTTTAGAACCTCTGGGTAATTGCTTTTAGTTCTAGCTAAAACCTGTTATATATTGCAAAGGTGCGCGAAGGAGAAAAAATGATTATAGATGTTCCTGTGCAGAAAGGTGGCATCCTGTGATTGAGCAACTTTACAAGGATTGATGATGAGGTGGGAAAACATGTACCTAAGATTAGTAGACTTGCTGTTCTGGGAAATCCACAAAAGGTCAAATCTAATGAATTTGATTATGATGGACCTAGAATTTTCTTATCAAAAACAAATGAGACATTGTGAATAACCATATCCTTTACAGGCTTTCAAGGTGCTAACAAAGGCAAGCAGAAGGCTCACCAAACATAATGTTCAGAGAAGTTGAAGGAGGTGTGGCCATGAAATTCAAACCAAAGTAAAATGCCATGGCTAATAGTACTGTCACCAAAGCATAAGCTGGCACAGCCAACGCCCAATACCTGAAATGCAGATCAGCAAATCAAAATATTGGTCAAGTGTTATATATATATATTGGTCAAGTGCAACTCATTCCCCATCCACAACCCAAAAAAGATATCGTTAGCAAAAAACAAGATAGAATAGGGGATTAGGTCTCATTGTGCCTGTCATTTGTCGATGGCATAGTATTAATTGGTTAAACTAAAAATGGATTAAATGCAAAATTAGGTTTGTGGACAACTACCTTGGAAAAAAGAATAGGACTAGAACAGAATATATGCAACGTAAATTCAATAATGATAGGAATGCAAATTAGGATACACTTGAGATTGGAGAGATAACTGAACGTGACCTCTTCCATTATCTTGTTTCAATAAACCATTACAAGGGGGAGATTGAGGAGGATGTCACCCATAGAATTAAAGCAGGATGGGCAAAATGGAGGGGTGAGGTGCATCTAGGTCCTGTATGATGGATGAATACCACTTGGGTTAAAAGGAAAATTTTATAAAATGGTTGTAAAGCCAGAAATGTTGTATGGAGCAGAGTGTTGGGCAGCCAATAAGCATGTCTAAAAAATGAGTGTGGCAGAAATGTGTATGTTGAGATTGATGAGTGGAAAAAGTTGGACAGGCTCARAAACAAACTCATTCTAAGGAACCTAGGACTAGGAGTAACTCCAACAGGTGTAAAAATGGAAGAAGTAAAATAAGATGGTTTGGTCATGTTCATGGAAGACCACATCTACAGCACACATAAGAAGATAAAGATATATTACAAGTGGAAGGGGTTAGAAATTCTTGGAGCAGACCAAAAAGGGCAATGGATATGGATAAGGAATGATTTAAGGTCCCATAATTTAACAATGGATATGGCACCTAACAGAGCACAATGGCAAAATAGAATTCATGTAGCCAACCCCACATAGCTTGGACAAGGCTTAGATTATGATGATGATGATGGTGGTGGTGGTGGTCAAGACACCACCAGACAGGACACATGAAACAAGCCTCTTGGGCCAAACTTTGATGCCAGAATTGGGTATGCAAATGTGAACAGGACCAATGGAGCAGAACCTACAAATAACTTTGGTTTTGGAGTGCCTCTTAAGATCAAGCTTAGGGGATTTTGTCCAACATTAAAGAAAAATACACAAACAGGTGTATCTAGTTAGTTCATCGTCATCATCTAAGCCTTATGCCAACTATATGGGCTTGGCCATAGATGTATCTAGTTAGCTACTTAACCAAAATATAACAGTGCACATCAGAAAAGAAATTCAGTGATAGAAAAGTATAAGAACAACGATTACCAACCTGCTAGGATAGTATGTGATTCCTACATAATGGAGCCAAGGCTCAGGAAGATATGCCCATATGAAGAAAATGACTGCTTGCAGAGAATAATGCAAGTGCATCAGTACTTTGAAAGAATTATCACTGGTTGAATTATTAATTACAAGTGGATTATAGTTAATAATAGTTCTGAATCTAAGAAACTGATTTACAGATATAAGTCAAAGTTACACGTAACTAATGGTGTGCAACCAACAACCCCTTGATGTAGCACATTTGATATATAGCATGAAGGAAATAATATATGTACATGTCATTGGAAGAAGAGTCAAGAGCCCTGAAATAAATCAGATTATTAACAAACAAAAGTCATCTTCCTTCTCTATTTTTTCTCTATTTTTCCCTTTGTTTAGCTATGTAATCTTATTGATGAAGGAAAATAAAGTACAATCAGACAAAAATGCAACTACTGATTAAAAGGAAAAGGCAGATTTAAAATACAGGAAAAATAAAAAGACAACGAGTATGAAGTGTCAAATTATCATCATACATATCCAGCTGGACAACCTACAAAATGTTGAAAATGAGGGCATTCCCATCTAATTGATTTTTTTAAAATGACTGCAGTACAATTAAAA